TAAACACTGGCTTGTCAAACAATTTCATGTAACCTGACATCCACGCATTATGTCTTAAGTCGCATACTGACAAATGAACTTACTTACATCTTGGAAGACGACCGGGGGGCCGTTTCTCGAAACCGTCATAACTACAAGATCAACGGCGCACAGTTTTTCCTTCATAATCATTTTGCCTTCGGCGTAGACTAGAAGGGATGAGATTGACGGCAGCGAGAGTTTAACACGGCTTGCAAGATTTTCAACATGGATGTCGATTTTGACCCATAGTTTCGGATTATTTCAATCAAGTTAGTAAGTGGAACCGATGTATTATAGCCTACATGTAGGCCTAATTTAAAATTGGATATGGACGAGGTAAAATTACATTTTGGGGGATTTTGGGGGCATAACAATACGGCCGTGGCAAGTTTGTCATGTTTGTGGGAGGGGCCTAGCGGCTAAAATCTAGCCGTGATATCTTCAACATACGATGGTATAGGTAGGGAGGCCAATGCCCAAATTTAACTTTTTAATTACTAATTTGTTTATAATATTAAAACTAAGATTAAAAGAAAGCATTTACTTTCACTAAGAAAATCCACCCATCTGCTGACTCCAGAAGTTCCATCAAATAGGAGATATCCAGCTCTTTTTATCCAGCTTCCTTCTACGCCTATCCGTACGTAAGAGCCTTGAAACAATTATATTTCATGTCGCAAAGTTACGTTCATAATTAGACAGGCCCGAGGGACAAAGTTCATGATGAAGTTTAAAACTTTGCGCGAAAGTGCAATCACTCAACAGCGGCTAGCCTTGAATCGGTCGCACACGTACACACCGACACAGGCAAGCCTTCAATGTGCGAACGATTACATCTTCTACTACTACGAGCCGAAGACGATGGTTCAAAAATGAAGAAGAGATATCAAAATTGGCAGGAAAGAAATATATATAATTCATTGATATTTACCTTAGATGAGTAATCCAATAATTTGATTTCCTCATGAGTATTCCTTATTATCAACGATCGAGAAGTTACGAGGTCCAATTAACATCCATCTTGCAGCGAGCACAATCATAGCGCACATCCATGCATGCAGCGTACGTGTACTAATATTTCTCTCACTCTCTCTCTCTCTCTCTCTACCTTTCGCTATACGTAACATACACACTCACTAACCATGTATCATACAACACACACCTTCAAATCATGGCTTTCATTTCAATTCTCAATTGGAGTATAGAGTGCTCACGCAGACTTTTTTTTTTTACTGAAATATCTTTTTTAACACTTCTCCTACATTACTGCATGACACTCGTATCTAGTGCTGTGAGATTAAGGTACTAGGGTCTATAAATAAGACTACGCTTTGCGCACGATCTGACCGGAGCTCAGACATATGTCGCAACACCCTTTATTTTTGGCGCGAACAATGACGTCACTGTTCACAGTTTTCCTTCTCATTTTGAGATGGATGTATATAGGGCTCAAACCAACGCAAGATTGACAGAAACATCGTACTCTATCTACTTTCGAATGTTCAGTTTGTAAAAATCTGTATTTAAAAAGATATAATCTTTTTTCTTTATATTTTCTAGAGTCTAGTTGTTAGTAGGGTGTCTGAACGATTTTTCAATTTTCAATTTGGGATCGTTTTTCACCATTTTTGTTTGATATTTGAATAAAAAATGTTATCAGAATAATACATTTCAAATTTCAAGTCTCACCGATGTTTCTATCAAAAGTTACAGCCCCTCCAACACGCTGGTATATTCATATCATTTTGGTCAAAATCGACGAAAAAGACGTCCACGCAGAGTGATGTTGTTTTGCTAAATTTAGCCAAACAGCTGTATCGCGCGATATGCAAGCGTATGCATATCGTACGCATGCTGCTAAGCCAATCCGCGACTTGCAGCTTGAGCTACGCTGTCTCCGCGACATGTGCGATTGACTAGTATGGTTGGCGTTCGTCGCACAATAAACCCGGAAGTGAATGCACGTTATAGTCAATGGCAATATCGCGGAGACAACGCACGTTGTCTCCGCGATATTGCCATTGACTATAACGTGTATTCACTTCCGGGTTTATCGAGGGAATTGCCAACCATAATTTCAGTCACTATAATGTGTAATTGAATTTGGGTTTCGTTCGTGCGCGGAGATGTTACGCGATGTAACCATGGTTTGGACTGAGCGGAGCGCACGCCTCCTAATTAGCTGATCCACCAAATAGCGAGAAGGGTATTTTTAAACTGTTATCAGTTGTGATCCCTGGGGGCTAGCGAAAATATAATCACATAGAATTGTTCCTTAGGACTGGGACTACTTATCGATCGGGGCGTCATATCTCAAAAGTGACAAACCTCAGAGTTAGCCAGGACACAATGTTTAAATTGCTGTTTTGACCAAGATATTTTTAGAATTTCGGGGGCTACGCCCCTTTGGAAATATTGGAATTCACCTGCTCTTTCATATGACACCTCATTCATTGATTATCACCTTCAGGATCACAACTGATAAAGGTTTGAATCTCGATTTGAAAAAAAAAAATTGACTTTTTTTGCATGGTCGCGCAATGCACGTAGGCTGCATAGGGATGCGTGTAATCTCTATGGGAAGAATTTTAGCACACAACATCGGGTGCGCGATCAGACACCCTATTGTTAGAAGTGGCAATTGTGAACATCTGAAATGTTGATCTCTATCAAAAGTTCTTTACTCAAAACGGATCCCATATTTTTAGGGTCTACCTTCTGCCAATGAGAAGGTTTTTAGTGAGCAAACCTCTACGCCCTCTCTAGGATTTTCTTAGTCGGTGGTGCGAGTGCGTCAAGGTCGTCTGCAACCACAATTATTGGATTAAAAACGTCAAAATCTGCAAGATTGTCAGCAAATGGTGAAAGACTGTTACAGATCCATGATTATAGGTAGTCTATGTTGTGAAATGTTTAATTGTAGGATATTTTCTTTTCTTATTTTCTTCAATTTTTATTTTTAGACTCTAGATAGAGGTCTAGGCCTACATCATTTTTTTCCCTTTGCTAATTTTTTGAAGTGGGCGACGAGCGCACAAATCGTAGGTGTAGAAGCCTTACGCCCGGGCATTGGCCTCCCTAGTATAGGCGATCGTTCAGTCTCTATAACCGGAGGTCTAGTGGAGCCAGACGTAGTCTCAGTGGAACAACCGACGATTATAGAGACTGAAGCTTTCGGTCTATACACAAACGAGTCCGTCGTACTACTAGTACTACAGCTACACACACTGTGAATGCATTCATTGACCATTTTACTAGGCCTAGACTAGTTGAATTTGAAAGCAAATTAAAGACCTTAGTAGTTACAGTTATAAACCTTTTACACGGTACTTACTTCCTCGAAGGTGCAGCTCTGTTGATTCCTGAGATCATACGTAAGCCGTGATTAATTCTGCTTAAACCAAACATTTTGGAGTCAGGAGGGAAATGGGTGAAAAAAACAAGCAAAATACGAAGTATTCGTCCAAGACGTGCATGCACAATCACCGTACGCGATCGATCGATCGGACAAAGCTATGGTATCTTTAAGATTCAAAGTATTTCAGCCCGGGAGGAAAAATATACTTAGCTAGCTTAAAGTGGGCGGGCGGGCTGGGTTCGGCCCCCCCCCCCCTCCCCCACCCACTCAGTGTTATTTAAGGTACGCATATGCTTGTTCCCTCTTTTTGAAAGCACCCCCAATCTGAGGACTGCCAACATTTCCGAACCCCCCTTTCGCGGGTTTTTCGCGGCTTTTCCTGCCTTGGAGACCCCCCTAAATTCGGAAAAATGCTCAATTTCCCCCCCTTAATTCGGAATAATTTCTCAGAAGTCCAAAGAGATGAGAGAAAAAAGAAAAAACACCCCCTTTTTAAAGATATGTCTGGGTGAAAAGTCAACCCCCTTTTCTTACAATTCTCGGGCCAGACTTTGTCGCACGAAAAGTACCCCTTTATCGGACATTTTGGCAACACGCATGCGGTCACTCCGACCCCGGAGTGGGGGGGCCGGGTTTAGGGTAGAACGCGTATGTATGTTCCCCTTCTTTAAAAGCACCTCCCTATCTCAGGGCTGCCAACATTTCTGAACCCCTCTTTCGCAGGCTTTTCCTGCCTTGGAGACCCCCCCCCCCCTATATCCGGAAAACTGCTCAATGTAACCCCCTATCGATATTCAAGAGATTTAATAACCCCCTTTTTAAATTTCTCAGGAGTCCAAAGAGAGAGAGAGAGAGAGAGAGAGAGAGAGAGAGAGAAAGTACCCCCTTTTAAAGAAATCTCTGGGTGAACTTTGTTGCGCGAAAAATTACCCCTTTACCGGAGATTTTAGGAACACGAATGCGGTCCTTCTGACCCAGGAGTGGGGGGGGGGGGCGCCCGGCCCCCTCTAATATACCATTCCGATATGTGTCCCTTTTCCTTTCTTATAAATGCTCTTTTTCCCCTCTGGTAAGTACCCTTATTCAAATCTGATAGGTGGCCCATTTACTTTGAAAAGTGCCCCTTTTCCCGTATGTTCCCTTCCCTTGTTTTTGAGGACCTATATACAACACCCAAAATTACATTCTGAGTTGTGCTCCAAAAGAAGCACTTTTAGGCACAATAGCAATTAAGTAATTTTCAATAATACTATTTTTCAACAGTTAAACCTGTTTTTCAAGGTCGAGTACTTCACAATTAAATGTAAAAATTGCCGTTTGAAATTTGCATAGATATGATTGAATTATCGTTTTTTAAAAAATTCATTAACTTCTCATTATTTGCCATTTCTCCAATTTTCACCTTTCACACAGCACAAATGAACATAATAATTGTTAAGGTTGAATTGATACATTTCATTTAACTTGCTTTCAATCGGCCAACTCCTTCAGTGGACTTTTCACTGCAGTGGGAAAATATGTCCTTTTCAAGAAGAAAGTGACATAACCTTTTATACCACAACACACACATTCCACTCAAAATAAAATGCTAGGCACAATGAAATGTAACAAAATAAACATGTTCAGGATACAATATATTCTATTTATTTCATTATTTCATTCTTTACAACATATTTGTTCTGTTTCCTATTTTAATAGGTTCTTTCACCTTTCCCCCCAAATACTAGCTGCCAAGTATAAAGTTGGAATATTTTCATGATAAATGCCCTTCTTAATACAAAAACTCCATATGTATTTTGAAAGGGACAATGTATAATATCACTATTCTCTGGGGTGCGATAATGTGTGAATAACAGAAAAGGTATGGGCAATAAAATATGTTAGCATATCATGTGGAAATTCTTTGCGCGTATGAAACTTGGCGATGACAAGAAAATGGAAAATAAACCTGTTATACAGTTTTATTTTGCCTATTTCCCACTGACGAATACAAGACCTTGACTTCATTACAAATACTACATGTACATGTATTTCATTGATTCACCTTTCGTGGTAGAGTGGAGCTGTACTTTTATTCAGATTAAAGTCTGATGTATATAAATCATACATGAAGTATCCTATGTTTATTCCCTTTTTTTTCATCAATTTTCTTTTGTTTACTTTTTTTATAACTTTTTTTTTTACTAGTGAACTTTTTCGAGGTGATAGCAGAGATCGTCTCAGGAAAATTTCCCAATGCGATCTCCCTATCAATGATGATGACGATGAAGACGATGATGACCGGGAGAAGAATTTCAAGAAATTTGAAATACTCCCCCCAAACAAAAAGTGGTAATTAGCTATGATATTTCAACAAATAAATGATTAATGGCTGCTAAAATATGTAATTGTCATACTTAATTAATAGAACAGTTGCAAATTGTTCACGGCAGAAGAAGACAAATTTCAGCAAGTACATCACATAATGTAGAAATATTAGCTTACTTCATGCAAATACATCTACAAAATATTCTTATATCACCATCAAAGATATTGTTACATGGCAATGGGATGGTACAATTTGTTTATCATAGCTAGTTAACACGACTGCATTAATAAAGAATATATTGTTTATGTTAGCATTCTCATAAGAATAAAATGCAGATGAGAATGATAAAAATGTAACAATATTAATCCAAAATATTCTCAGAACTGGCAATAAAAATTCATTTACAGAATTGGAGCCTAACAACTAACAAGCTTTGTCTATACTAAGTAACAGGTAGACACACCACATACCATTTATGAGGAAAGATCTAAAAAAAAAAAAAAAATTGGACAGCATTTGATGTCACAACAGCAAAAACATATTTTATTTTTGAAATGGAAAACATGATTGCCAGTTCTGAGAATTGAAATATTTACAAATCTTTTTATCACAAAAAAAGTCAAAATGAAGCAAAGAGAATGAGAGAACAGAAACAATAAGAAAGAGAGAGAGAGAGAGAGAGAGAGAGAGAGAGAGAGAGAGAGAGATGGACAGAGAGAGAGGAAAATAGAGATGGAGAGATGGCAATCTCATGGGGCGTTCTGAAGAAAAAGGCCTATTGGGTCAGGAGTTGTCGGACATTCATGATATCAGTCCCCATAAGTAACACCTCTCAGCTCTTCTCATGAAGTTTCTTTTGAAGACTGGTAACACGGTTGGGCAAACAAGAAGATTGTCTGGTCCAGATCTGTGACATTGAGATCAAAAGAGGTGAAAGAGAAAGAAAATTAATGGCAGCTCCTTTACAAATATAAGATTTTGTAACTTTTTGTGTCATTTGACCAGAATTTTATAAAAGAGAGAGAAAAATCAAGAAAAAAGAAGAAGATAAAGAGCCCCCCTCCTGACTACAATCAGTCATCTGTGCATGAGAGTAGTATGTAGTAGTTTCAGATAAATCAGGTGTAAAGCTTTTCATTCAGTCGGAAACTGTTGGCTACTCAAAATGTACAAATACCCCTAAATATTTTTTTCTTCTCTTCATGCTAATACAAGCTTAATTGAATGCAATTCTTTTATTGGTTACTTTCTTCATAAAATATCCAATATCTTAATAATTTATGATCTATTTACTTTATGGAGTGATTACAATTCAAATGTCAATTTCCAGACATTTGTCAAAACATCTTTTCATGGAGTCTTTACACAGACTTTACAAAGTAGCAATCCTTTATCCACCATTAATCATACATATTTGGCTGTACAATACTCACCTTAAACTACAGAAGGACGAAAAACAAAACAAGACTTGTGGATGCTATACGTAGATGCCGACCCATAAAAGCAAGAAAAGGACTCCAAATCCCATAAAAAGACTGGCAACTAAAGCTACTAGCAGCTCCTTGTAGAGATCCCTTGTGTATTTTGTAGCTGTGACTTCATAGCTGATTAATTCAAGTCAAGGTCAAAAGTCATACATATTGTAGAAAGTCTAGAAACATACCAGCAAAAAAATAACACATGGGAGCGTGAGAGAAATAGCTCTTGATAAATTGATAGCTCTTAAAGATAAAGTTGAGTTCTGGCCAAGCACTGCATTGTGAAAGAAACGGTGTGGAATCGATCAGAAAAGGTTGATCATCTAGCATATAAGTATTCTTGTGTATTGCAAGGTTCTGGAATCAAGGTGATAACAAATTCGGCCAAGTCTTGGTAAAGTTACAAGCACTGTACACAGAAGGGACTAAACGAACACGTGACATAAAAATCTGTCCCGATTTTTACGATGTTAAATACCATATTTAGAATATGAGGGCATTTTAAGAGCCATGCTTTTCAGGGAACAAGTTTTATCGGATGTTCTTCCACCCTTGCATATAAATAACAATGATAACGATCACAAATTATTTTTCACCTTTTCCCAGAACTCAACCTTCTCTTTAAAGGGATCCAGTAACTTTGTCTTAGATCCTTTAGAAATAATCCTTGACTTAGCTCATGCTGCAATGATAATTATAAACCTTAAGGTCAGTCAGGAACTCCATGACTTTTACAAGCCGATCTGATTATCAAGATATTAATGATTGGAATTACAAATTTTGAAAACTGTTCGCTGATCGGTTTTCATAACACTACAGTGTATTGGGGGAAAACGAGTATGGTAAAACCGGTCACTCAAAGATTTTTAATTTTTTGAGGCACTTCTTGATCATTTTGAAGCGCGACACTGGTAACATGTAGGACCGTGTATCTTAGATTTAACATTGTTAAACGATCCCTTTAAGTGCTCTGTTAAACTGAAGGGGGAGAAAGGGCTTTGGTAAACAAAAATATATACATGTGTTTACTTTTTTATCACTGTGAGAGAATTGCACTTATTGAACGCCACATCCTAAAAGAGAGAAAAGTGTTTTTTTCACATTCACAAAATTCAATTACATTTTAAGCAGTTGCTATGTCAGAAATCCCCAAGCTACACCATAAAATTAAAGGTTTCAATGGGCTATAATATGAAAACATGCAATGCTCTAATGCAATAAGGCACTCAGTTGATGGGAAGGGACATACCAATGTCTTTGATCATCTAGCTGACTGATGATGACTGGCATGATGATGCCACAGAAGTCTACTGCTTTTGGAGGTTTTTTTTTAGGGGTGGAGCTTAGCAGGTAGAACCAAAGTAATAGACAAAATAATATAAAATATATGACGTATATGTACATCAAAAGTAAAAAGAAATGTGATGTATATATTATTACAAATCAACAAAAGTCAACATGAATTTGTAATTTAGTCACCCTTTAACCATTGTGCTTCTCTCATTTTTCTGTTCTCTATTAGATTAGTTTGTTATTAAGGTTGGATTTCTCTTTAAAAGTTTCACACCTTTACAGATGTGTGTGAAAGGATACACAAGGAACCATGCCATGAAGAAGATCCCTATGGTCAAGAGGATGAGGGTGAGATGAGGATAGACAGCCGGGTTAACCGGACTGACGTACCGCGTCATCGACTCAATGGCTGCCGACTGGATAAGAGATAAAATGAGAAAAAAGATAATTAATAAAGTTGTGTTAATAATTTTTATCGCCATACCTTATACCTCCACTTCTCGCATATTGTTGGCTGTATGTACAGCTGTAAGCAGCTGCCATACATACACACGGTTAGAAAAAGGATTGCATTGTCCTAAAAAAAGCAATTTCCAAGATCGGTTGAACTTTTTTAGACCCCTTTTTTTTACCTCGAACCATGTACATGTATGTGCCCAAACATTGAACTCTGGCTACGTGCCTGGGAAAAATGCCTAAAATTCGACCAAATGAGTTCAATAATGAATTTGGACTAGTTATTCTACATCAATGATGATCATGAAGAAAGATGACGTCCGGCGTCATCCATTGACAGTAACACTAACAGGTAACAGTTTAAAATACAGCTCAAAGAATTTCAATACGGAGTTAAATTTCAACAATGAAAATCAGGAAAACAGACCCTTAAATGCATCATACAGTCAATCGATCTGGTAAGTGGAACAGATGTATATTAGCCTACGCCTGATTTTCGAGAATAAATACGTCATTATATGATTCCCCTAAAATATGATAAAACCTAGACCTATTTTAATTTTAAGTCCAGAGTCTCAGCTCAGTTTGGTGGCACTTTTGATTTGTTTTGTTTTGGTGGCATGATTGTGCCACTGACAGCAGACCCTATAGCTGGCTTCTGTCTCGATTCTAAAGAGAGGAGCAGACCCTACCCAAATAAGAGGCTAAGGGAAAAGACAGACATTTTCGGTCTAGTTTCGAAGTTCGAACTTGCAGCCATTCAGCGATTCACACATTTACAGACTCTACCTTAGTCCCACATACCCATCATTTTGTTGGAAGAACTTGATTGCAACACTATAAAACACAATTTTATGACGTTTTGAAACAAATACACTACACTCCATCTTCGTACAGAAATTAATGTTCATATAATCCCATAATTATGTCTGAAATCGAATTAAATTCGTGATAAATGTTAAATTATTCATTTTTAAAAATAAATAGTACACACTGCCATGCCACGTATGCATCACACACTGCACTGACACAGCACTTCCGGTTGCAAACCTGGCTGAACACTCGATTTCAGGAAAAGGATATACAAAAAATGAAGAAAAACTTGAACGAAAAGGTCTATTATATTCGAGGCCGGTATATCATCAAACCAATACTTCAAAGAATTTAAACACATTAAATTTCGCTTAGGCCTACCATGATTACTTTCTGGCGAATCACGAGGATGCACGAAAAAACACGACAAGGGATATGATCCGAAGCGAAGAGAGCGAGCCAGGCCGAGGAGGTCAACAATAGTATAACGTGACCTCAATAATAATTGAATTGGATTAGTACATTATTTTGAAGGGGTGTTTGAACCATAGAATAATAGACTTAGTTCTTTTTTTGAAATATTTCTTACCCATTAATCCATATAAAATTAGAAAAAGTACTAGACGCTTTGTAACCAAATAAAACCACTTAGAAATTTGATTATCCTCATGTCTACTTTATGTTTAATTTAATTCCTATTTTCAGATCAATCATTCTTTCCCAGATTGAAAGTTGAACAAGCATGCAAGGTAGTCATGGGGGAGGCTGTATACAAATTGACAGAAGAAGAACTACGTACGAGTACATGGCATCTTTTCATAGGATAATCGATAAAGTCTAAAGAGGATAAGTTAGTCTTTAAATCGGAGGATAAGTGAATAGGCTGGTAATTTTTGTTGTCGTTGTTGGCGTTCACTCGTTCAGAATATTTACCTTTACTCTAGAGACTGTAGTTTACTACAGTCTCTAGAGTAAAGGTAAATATTCTGAACGAGTGAACGCCAACAACGACAACAAAAATTACCAGCCTATTCACTTATCCTAAGACTTAAGATTTAAACAGTTTAATCATAGGCTAGGGTCTATTTATTTGTATTATCGAGCCGGAGCCTGCATGGGCACTGATGATATGGGCCTGGGCTAGAAAAAAGAAGCGGAGGGAGAGAGATGAAGACTGGCTACATAGCTACAGTACAGCCAGTAGATAGAGGCTAAGTCAAACTCAAAGTGCAATATCCAGCCAGATTCCAGGTGCAGGATGGCTACTCAAACAGCTACAGTTTTCAGTACTCTGGCCCATGGATGTGGCTCCTGGGATGGTGATTTGCAGAAAGAACTTGATGATGGAATTGGAAATAAGGTGAGCTAACTCAACAAGTTTTAGGCCAGGGCGCTAGTTCAGAAGTCTATCCAAACTTTGACCCACAACTCCGACGTGGAGATACCCTACTAAAACATACCCAAAATGAAGTAAATATTCATCAAATGTCAAAATTTAAAAAAAAGGTCAAAATGTAAAATTTAATAATGTTTGTTACCTGTTTCATGTCAATTTTCTTATCTTTTTTGGAGTATTTTTCCTAAAAGCAAAGACTTATAAATCTATGCACTTTCTAACGGGATTCACGGCAAACTGCAGCACAATACAATTGCATACCCTACCGATGGTGGGGTGCGGGCGCGTGTGTGTTCAGTTAGTGACCGTAAACTAAGATTACAGTTTTCATTATTTCATGTTACTTTCAGTTTCAAAGTTATTGCTTGTACATGTACATATATTCCTTTTTTCCCCACAGTCCAAGCTGCTGCCAAACAGATCAAATCTAGACGGTGAGTCGGATGATCATCTGGAGAAACGGGTGCACATTCCAATCCGCATCAAGTCCCAACTCTCTCAGATCAAGAGCATTCTTCGCGAGGCATCCAAGAGATACCCTGAACACTCCAAGGCAGCAGAGCAAAGCTTGGCTGACATCATCAAGAAGAAGACTGAAGGCACAGAGTATTCTCATCCGCATGGCTTGATGAAGTCTCGCCCTCGGACAGGTGTTATCCGTGCCCACAAACAGCAGCACCGACCCGGCCTGGGGGTGGGGATCAGGCCCCATCGGTTTCATCAGCGAGCAAAGAGTGCTCCATCGTCTCGCCCTTCGTCTCAGAGTCAGACCCTGTCGAAGAAGAAAAGTTCAGCGTTGCCAAAAACCCTGACAACCAGGAAGGGTGCCCTCATGATCTTCACATCGCCCAAGAATGTAGCGTACTCGGTACCGGAGCAGAAATGTTATTATGTTGATCCTGAGGCTGTGAACTTGGACGAGTGGGCAACCAATCTACGGTCTTTCAAAAGATTAACTAATAGTGTCATGCAATATGGCTCTGAGGTAAATACAAGCATCAACACTATTAAAGTTTGTGTGATAAAGATTGTAATTGGTTTAAATCAATCAAAATTTCCCAAATGATTATCAGTCAACATACTAATATAAGGATAATAGCAGGTGAATGAAATGCTTCATCACCACACACACCTGGGAATGGAGCATCCATAAATCTTAGCACATTTACTTGATAAACGACTTCACATACATGTAGAACGTCAATTTTTCAAGAAAATGGCGATGCCCATGCATGTCATGCTGAGAAACTGTACATTATTTTTGCTTTATGCTCCTTTCATAAACTTTGGTGGGAAATCTTGTAAATTAATGGCAATAATAAAATAAATCGTAGAATAAGTGAATTAGTTATTCCTTGGGTTGAGGTTTCCTTTAATATGTTATGTTTTTTTTTCCTTTGTAGAAATATATATACCGTATTTGCCGGCGATAAGGCTGCACCGCCGCATAGGCCGCACCCCCAACTTTGACATTTCAAAGAGGGAAAAAAACAAAACAAAAGGAAAAAAAAAAAAACGGACAAAACAAAATAATCATAATTTTCTCGAAAAACACTATTTTTTTTTTACAAACTGATACCAAATTCATCCATATTCTTATAATTTACCGGAAGTTTAGCTAAAAAAGTGATCGCAGGCAGATTTGGTGTCCGATATACCCCTATCACAATGTACGGTGTAATGCGAAACTGCATGAAATGGAAAAACAAAATGGCGACTTCGGATGGATGTTCCTGGCAGCTCCGTTCGACTGTCCCTTCCTTTACCTTTGCAATGCATTAGCACGAACTTAGATCAAGATCTATCGGCAAATGTTGTGTTAGGACGTTTATTTTCGTCTTCATGTCAACAATGCAAGATAAAATTGTCGGTAAGATGTTTGGAAATGTCCTGTACCATAGTAGTATTGTTATTTTACCGTTTTTAGTCCCATACGTGCAAAATCGTGTTGGTTTTGACTTTCGTTTTTTTTTTTTTTTTCACTCTTTTGTCGTTCAGGCCGCACCCCGACTTTTTGATATTTTCTCTTCCAAAAATACTGCGGCCTTTGCCGCCAAATACGGTACATGTATACATATTGAATGACCCCATTATTTGTTACCCCACATAATATAGAACATTAAATGTAATGGTACATTTGTGAACTATCGATATCACATTACATGTTATCCAGTGCTCACACTACATGTAGATCCATCAACTGACCCCAAATGTAAACCCCTGAGTCATGATCTCCCAATGAAAACTATATACTGAAAAAGGCATTAATTTGTTCATAAGTGTAGATGTACTTTTTATTCTGCCAGCCTAAGTCATAACAAATGTAGATTACTGAACTACTAAATGAGTATACATATACGTTTTACCCTTACTCATATTTCACTCTTTTTGTTGTTCCAGATTGGAGATGATATTGAGTCTCTGGCCTCGGACTACGACACGTCTTGCTTCAAGTTTCAACGGCAAGAAGATGATGATGTTGGTGTGGATTATAGGATACAGCCCGGCGGTGACTTTGTCTTCTACCTCAAAGACTTGAAGACCAAAGCAGCGTAAGTCGAGCACAATCTTTCATGGTCTCACTCTCTCTCTCTCTCTCTCTCTCTCCTTATCTCTCTGTAACTCTCTATGTCTCTCTCTCTCTCTGTCTCTGTGTGTCTATCTCTCTCTCTGTGTCTCTCTCTCTGTCTCTCCCTCTTCTCCCCTCTCTCTCTCTCCCCTCTCTCTCTCTCCCCTCTCTCTCTCTCTCCTCTCCCTCTCTTTCTCTCTGTCTGTCTGTCTCCCTCCCTCCCCTCTCTCTCTCTCTCTCTCTCTCTTTATGTCTTTCTTTATGTCCCATTTCCCCTCTATGTTTCACATTCTTTTGTTAACTGTCCCAAAATATAAGTAATATGAAAAACAACAATAAGAAATTAACCCACACAGGACTGGGAAGAAATATCTTTAAAGGCAAGGCAAGGCAAAGAAAAGCAACCAAAAAAAAAAGGGGGGGGGGGGCATGTACAGTGTACAAGTAGTATGACAGATATATTTATGAGCAGCATTTGGTCACATGTTTGCTTCTCTGGTCGGGCAGCTAAAAATTTGAACACCAAGCAATTTCTGTGCAAATTATACATATTGTAGCTGAAGTCAAGTGCTCAGAATATTCTTTTAGTTCAGCAGGACTTTTATATTGTACAATTTTAAAGTACAATAAAAAGTTATATTGTACTTTAAATTTTAGTACAATAAAAAGTTATATTGTACTTTAAATTTTAGTACAATAAAAAGTTCTGCTAAACTAAAAAAATATTAAAGTTTAAATCTTCTTAAAGTTACCTTTTTTTAATGTTTTTGCTAGTGTAAGGAACGTTGTATCATCCCTGTCGTATGGCTCTACACCGGTCCTATATGAGGAAGAGGAAGGAGAAGATGTGCATCAAAGACTTGATGAGGATGAGACTGACACATGGCCACAGGAGGATGACAGCGTGCCGCCCAAGATGGAATTCCTACATCCAGTTGGAACAGAGCCCAGAAACCGAGCATGGGGGAGTCGGGCAGAAACAGAGAGCTTGAGCAATGCTGATGCTCTAACACAAGGCAAGACTGAGCTAAGCAATGGTGGAGAAAATAATCTACGATTTGCTCCAAGGAGTTCCACTGCACAATCTGTGGAATCAAATTTGATGGCCAGACCTGATACTGCAAGGTAAATGTACATGAAAATCTTCAGATTAATTGTTTGCTTTTTTAGGACATTCAAAGTCCTGGCAAGAGGCACACTAATTCACAGATGCTTTTTTAGGCCATTTGCAGATGCTTTATTATGATTTTTCTCTTTTGGATATGACAAGTTGCAAGAAAAATAATAAAACAATTCCTTGATATCTTCTGCAGGAGGGGAATTGGCTAAAAATCATTTCAGGTACATTTTATGGTGTACAATAACTGTACATGTATGCAAATGATGCTGGCTTCAAGTTTCAAGCTGCATGCAGGGAGTTAATTCAGTGGGATCTGTTTAAGAAATAAGAGAGTACAGATGAAATCTTTATCTCTGTAATAGATTGTGAGAACACTTCATGCAGAAGCTTGCAGTGCCAATAAACATTGCCTAACATTTTCTTTGTTTAACATTATAGTTAGGATTTACAGGTGCAGTTGCTCTGATTGAGAACATCAAAATCATCTGATCATAGGAATGCACACTGAGACGGTCTTCTACATTCCGTAAATAAACCAATAATGTGAGCGATGACTTGCTGATGATTGATGCATTTGCTGATAGATCATATACACTGTATGCATTAGACGCAAATATATATCAACGTGTAATATTATACCCCTCATAGACTGGCGAGTCCAACCCATTGTAAGGCCCCTACATTCATCAGCTCAGGTGACCGTAAGGTTAATAGCAGAAAGCCTTGTTCTCTATGTATTCAATTCAATCTGCAAATGGATTGGACTTGCCCTTTCTTTATATTGTTCATGTACATGTAGTCCATTGTGCTGCCAGTTATCAAAACTAATCAGATAATCTTTCTTGACAGGTCAACCAGATCAGTTACAAGCCTCAGGTCAGGCACGCCTCTGTCTCTCAGAGATCTCACAGCATCTTTGAAATCTGGTGGATACCTCGGCCGACCAGTGAGTGCCCCTTTCCCACCATACTCCCCACATCCGCGAACAGCATCACTGCCAACGGAAGAAGAGGAGGAGACGGAGGATGATGATGAGGAGGAGGAGGAGGATGAGGAGGAGAGGGCTGCTTCCGTGATGTCACACTTGCGGCAATCCTCCAGACCTCGCTCGAGCAGACCAAGCTCCAGGAGGACACAGGGCAGCGCAGAACCTGCGGAAGATGTCATTGATGGGAGGAGCTCAAGGGGTACCAGGAGTAGGAAGTCATCTGCAGGGGTGCGATCCAAGCATGGGATGGAGGAGGATGCTGTAGGTGAAGGGGAGGATGATGATTGGCAGTCTGAAGATCTTGCAGAGTTAGGGGTCGATGACCTGGAGCCTGATGCTGCCCTACCTCCACAGGTAAGCTCGGTGAACTATAAAGAAAGGGGAGAAATAGAGAAAATAATGTGAGCTCTAAGGAGATAGCAGAGAGAAAGGGAGAAATAAACGATAACAAGTGAGAGAGATACATATATAGAGAGAGAGAGGGAGAAAGAGAGAGAGAGAGAGAGAGAGTGAGTGAGAGATAATGCAGTGGAAAGGAACATAAATGTATTTGTGAGGACTGATGTTTTTTTGTAAATGTAATTTTTAAAAATTCTTTTTATGTCTCCTTTAAAATTATGCATTCACATTTCAGGCAATTTATTGTGAAAAATAATGTAATTGCTGTCAATTTTTCAACTCGCCTGTATTGTGACATATCGTATTTGCTTGTGTTGTTAAACAAAGATATTACTTTGAATAAATCATTGATGTAGATCAAAACCGTAAATAAAAAAACTTAACCCAAAGTAAGGGCACTAACAAAAATATTCACTCATTTTGTTTTTCTGTATTTTCTTGTTTTGCCTAGGTTGATGATATTGGTGGAGATATTGATGTAGGTGGGCAAGTCTTTGCACAGGCTGCTGATCCTAGGAGCCAATCAAGAGCATCCTCTATCCCGCCCAGGATGTACACCCCACAGACCAGATCTTCCCTGAGGTCTACCCCACCCCAGAGGGGGACCAGTGGCCAGGGTTGGGGGGCATCGGAGGGGAGGAGGAGGCGGTGCTAGCCAGGAGTAGGCCATCCTCTGGTGTAACACGAACAAGCTCTGCCAAATCTAGACAGGTATGTGTCTTTAGTTTTTTCCTCTCTTCCTCTCCCTTACCTACTCTCTCTCATACCTCCATCGAGTTCTTAATTATTTAAAGCCCCACTGCACTACTTATAGCTACTTGCGCCCTCTATATAGCAAACATTGCCTAATTGGTGCCTTTTGGTCCCCCATGATCCCCTTTTTCTATATTAATTGAAAGCTGATTTAATGAGATAACCACCTGTCAGTGACCTTGCAGGGAGGTATAATACCCCTGGCCAAACTAGTGCAGATGGGCTTAATCATTGGTAAACTTCAGACCGTTTTAATTCTATAAGTAGTTTATCGAATGTGGTTTCTTATCAAGTTATTATTTGCCAGTCAATAGGAAGATATGAGCTGTAAGTATTTATAAATCATGTCTGTGAATTATATGATAACATTTAATTCTATGCCCTATAGGCAAAGATAGGAAAATATATCTCGAAGCTTTCTAATTAATTTTGTCTTTGATATTAATTTTGAAATGTATTTACATATATATTTTGTTTACAGCTGTTGATATCTAGTCGCAGGGTATGTTTATTGTTATTCTTAATCGCCAAGTCCATTGCTCACATCTTTCTGTTTACAATTTGTGCAATACAAAATTTATTAATGAAGCATTTTTCTGAAAGAGATATTTATTTTTGAATAACGAACAAGTTGACATTATTGAGTGGATAGGGAATATGAACAATATGATTTTGGAAGAGTCTCTTTTTTCTGCTATTTGTTGTACAAGATAATAATACAAATTTGCTACTCTTAATCTAGGTGGGTATCCGATAGAATGCGGGATTCATTGTAATTTGCTCAACATTTTGAGGGTCTAACATGCTCCCCGGGAGTGGAGAATGTGCTTACATTGTGTCAGGCCTGATAATTATCTGATTTAAATTCGGTTTGCCGATATTTTTTCCAGATTTTTTTCCAAATTCCCCCCCCCCCCTGATTTTACCCCTATTTATCCTGATTTTTTCCCCAGTTTCTTACTCATAGGGGGGAACGTTGTTAGATGCCATTTTTTCCCCCCTGAACCTTTTCTTTATTTTTATTTATTTTTTCTTAGCCAAGAGGAGGGTAATTGAGAACAATTTTTTTTTTAGTGCTCACTATCACCCCTGATTGTGTACAGGCAAGCCTGAATCCGATTAATGATTTATGACCTGTAAAGCGCTTAGAGACATCGTCGATGTAGTAGGTGCCATATAAACCCAGGATATTCTTCTTGTTGTAGTCAAGCCGTAGCAGACCTGGTACCTCAGGTTCAGTCAGGTCTACTGGCCTAGGAGAGGATAACATTCAGGAGGAGGAGATAGGTCCTAGTCCTACAGAAGGATTGCAAGAACAGCCTGCTCATCATGGACAAGGTAACCGATCTTAAAGCCACACTGCACTACTTATAAGTACTTGCTCCCTCTGTATAGCAAACAATGCCCAATTGGTGCCTGTTGGTCCCCATGATCCTTATTTCTTATGTTAATTGAGGGCTGATTTGATGAAATAACCACCTGTCAGTGACCTTGCAGGGAGGTCTAATCCCCCCTGGCCAAACTAGTGCAGAAGGTCTTTAAAGCCTTACGAAATTATAATAATAGGGCAAGTCTGTGGTATTTGATCATTTGGTGTAAGGTACATGAATCTACATTTTGAAAAAGAAATCATTATATAATTTATCTGTTCCAAGCTGTTGTAGGGCTTGCTAATTAATAAAATCATCTGATATAAAACTGTTATTGTTATCATTAATGTATGGGAAATATAGCTTGGACTGGAATGGAAATAGATGGAGGGCCAGGAGCGCCAATGTGCCGGACATGAATGTAATACAAGAATCCACTATTTTCATTAAATACATTATCTTCTTCTTTTTTTAGTTATTGTTATTAATTATTATGATTTATTATTATTAGTAGTAGTATCATTTTCATTATTATTATCATCATCATCATCGTCATCATCATCATCATCATCATCATCATTATCATTATCATCATTATCATTATCATCATTATCATCATCATCATCATCATCATCATCATCATCATCATCATCGTTATCATTAATATTATTACTATTACTACTTGCCCGTAGGGATTTTTATGGCACCATCTATCAAATTAGGAGGAATAGAGGTGAAGCAATAATCAAGATTAGTTCCATATGCTTGTGGGAAGAGAATAACAATATTTTGCATTGATTAAAGGTAAAGACCAGTATTGGGAACGCCCCAATTTCCAAAAATGAAATGGAAGCTCTCATTACCAATCATGTGAAAGAATATGTTTTGACTAATACATGATGATAAAAAATTTGCCGGGAAACCGCCTACTAATTCATATATTTGGTAAATTTGTTTCTCTCATGGTCTGTGAGAGATATAGGGTAGTCCCATATACATCTTTCTGTGCATAGTGCTTGTAACTTTACGAAGAATGGGCCAAATTTCTTATCATTTTGATGATTCCAGAACCTTGCAGATGCTAGATGCTAGATGATCAACCTTTTCTGATCGATTCCACAACGTTTCTTTCACAATGCAATCGCATGACCATAACTGGTCTTTACCTTTAAACGAAGAAAGTAGCTAGTAGAGTAGCACAGTTTTCAGCAGAAACTGACAAAACAAATTTGTAATCTAAAATATAATCTCTGTTTTCATTTTTCTAGGTGATGGAGACACTTTGCAACTTTTGGTGAAGGAGTTGGTATAGTCCAAGAATCTGGTGAGAGCCATTTGCATTTACAGCCATACCATACATATGTAGATATGACAGTGTGTCTCATATTTTGTCAGGTGCCGACATGGCCAAAGCATGAACATCCACATATGAAGAGTTTGATTCCAAAAGGAGCTAAATCCATTTGTGTACCTTCAGAGAAAAAAGGATTTGTTTACCAGATTTTGTACTTGCGTTTATGGAAAAGTGATATTAGAAGGTGCATTTTTTCATAATTGCTCCCAAATTTAGGTAGATAGTTTTGTTGAAAGATGGGTACTTAAGTGAACAATGTTCTGATATCAATAACTCAATTTTCATCAAAAGTAGATTTAGCTCCTTTTGGAATTTTATATAAACTCTTCATGTATTATATTTTTAAGTATTTTGTTACAATGAGTTGCAACTTCCATTGTTGGCTTTGCTCATTGAGTTTGTTATTATGCATGGTACATTTCACATTTTCTATCTTTTTTTGTTTAATCCTCTAGCCTTTCTTTGAATTACATACATTGAAATCTGCTGGTAACATTGATAGTTGTACTCCTTTCGACTGGCAGCTACACGTAAACAGTTATCTACTTCGTTTATTTCAAATCTATGACAAAGGTTTGACTATCGTCCTATTTGATGGCTTCCATCAAATTACTTTGAATTATTTACTGTTGATATTTGTTATGGTCAATAATTCATTTCATATCATGATTTGTTGTTACTTGTAGTTCAATCATTCTTACCCTCATTAATTGTAGCTTTTTTGGACAAATTTACTTGGGCAAGTTCCTGTGTCCACAAGATCACTCAGTCAAAAAGTATGCATAAGATAGTAAACCATTAGTACCGATGTCTATAATCTAAAATATTTTAAAAACTTTATATTTTGATACTTTTCTTGCCTCAATCTTACAGAGGAAAACACCACACATTTTCTATCTTTTTTTGTTTAATCCTCAAGCCTTTCTTTGAATTACATACATTGAAATCTGCTGGTAACATTGATAGTTGTACTCCTTTCGACTGGCAGCTACACGTAAACAGTTTTCTACTTCGTTTATTTCAAATCTATGACAAAGGTTTGACTATCGTCCTATTTGATGGCTTCCATCAAATTACTTTGAATTATTTACTGTTGATATTTGTTATGGTCAATAATTCATTTCATATCATGATTTGTTGTTACTTGTAGTTCAATCATTCTTACCCTCATTAATTGTAGCTTTTTTGGACAAATTTACTTGGGCAAGTTCCTGTGTCCACAAGATCACTCAGTCAAAAAGTATGCATAAGATAGTAAACCATTAGTAACGATGTCTATAATCTAAAATATTTTAAAAACTTTATATTTTGATACTTTTCTTGCCTCATCTTACAGAGGAAAACACCAGGCCTTCATCCATCCCGTCGCGCCCTTCAACCAGTCACAGCCCCGCCCCGCCTCAACCTGTGATAGCAGACTCCCCCAAGCCCCCTACCCCAAAGCCTATGATCATCACCCCCAAAGCTGCCCTCCGGTTGTACTCCACACCCCTACCCCGCCCTCGGCCAGAGTGAAGTCTGCTGTAGGGAAGGTCAAGGTTCAAGCAAAGACTGAGGAGAAGAAAATGGCTAAGGTTGACTTGAGTGGATTGCAGAGCATGGTCTCCAAGAAACAGACAGGCTCATCCATTCCGAAGGTAAGATGTGGAATTTTTTTTTTGATATTCAAAATAGAGATATTTTATTATCAGGGATCAAAATAATATATGCCAAGACCAGATCATATGAATATCTGAAGTATACATATATCATTCAAAAGAAGTGAAAGGATATGAAAACAAGTTCTAAAAGTTTGCTTCCAATTTACTATGCGGTGCAAGAAATAAGGACTATCCAAAACATTGTAGGTAAGTTAATGTTGTCTTGATCAATGTTTTGGTGTATACTGTCATCACTATTGACAGCATTTTGTCATCTCTCATTTACTTATCTTTTCACTCTGAAAATTAATAATGAAGGAACTTGCAGGAGCTTAGGTTATTGAATTGTTGCTTGGTATGTATCAAATAAAAGTGAAGGAATCTCCAAACATTTCTCTTTTGATAATCTAACAAAACTTCCTTAGCACTTACTTGCAGTATAAAGAAGGCAAATTTGACTAAATCTGATTTAATGCATATTAATTTGTATCTAGCCTGAGAAGAGAAGTTCAAGCCCCAAGGCCAAGAAAGGAAGACGAGGGAAGAAGGGCGGTGGTTCAAGCCCCAGCAGGAAGTTTGAGGGTGTAGACTTTGTGGACAATCCCCGGGGTAGTGCATATGAAGGACCCTCAGAAGATGAGATAGCTAAGATGATTCAGCAAGAGGTAAGAGTGGCGATTATTTCATTACATTTATTCTTTTCTGCCATAATATGGCACATCCAGTAGAATTGTATGAGATCATTAAGCTAGGAATGAGCATGGGTTGAATGAGATTTGAGTGGATTGGCTCATCTTCATAAATAGCGGATTAGGTTTGATAAGTTTGGATTGGTGAAAATGAATTAGATTCAGGGGATTTGAATTGACTGATTGACTGGCATAGATATTGCCTTCTTCTTGATATTGTGTCCATCCAGGAAAGAGAAATGTGAATTGGTTTAATGGGGTAATTACTTTAGATTGGAGAATTATACTAGATTTCATTTGAAAAGAATGGATTACATATGGAAATGATTAGATTATATTAGATTTAATTAGATTGGGAAGAAGATTTCTATGCGAAGGATAAGATTGAAATAGAATTACAGTGATTAGATTATGTAACATTTTTATTACATTTGAAGGGGTCAAGATTTGACATTGTTTTGATATTATTTTCTGGTCTTCTACGTACCAGCTCGCTGAGCAACTAGCTGAAGCTAACATCAATCTAAATGCTGAGGAGGAACCAAAGGAAGAAGAAAGAGGTAAATATTGAAATGCGGGAATAGATCGATGATAGACTATATTACTACAGATATATCCTGTATATATCAAGACCTCTCAAGAGAGACAAGAAAATTGGTTTGGTTATGTATGGTCCTTAAATACATATTTTGATGTATCACTATTCAAGAGAGAGGGAAAATATGGTCTTTATAGAGAGGGGGTCTTTTAGTACAGCTGGGCCCCCTCTTGTAAACATTTGCAATTAATTGATATCAATCGCAACAATGTACTCTACATAGGAGTTGGGACTTTAAACTTAATTGCGATTGATTTGAGGTTGTGTGATTGGTTCGGATTAATCATAACCCTTTATAAGACGACTAGAGCCCTGATTGCTAAAGCAGGGGCCTGTTTCACAATTAAGACTAAGATTTACTTTCAGTCGGACTATGGCAGGCCATTCATGCCACTAGTTCCTTTAACCATTCCTGGCATTGGTTTCTCAAGGGACGTTTAAATCGTGGTCACAAATCTACAGATTTTACATTTTTTGAGAGACCAATATTTAGAGCAACCAGTGGCTATTTTTTTAGAATTTTTTTTTTTAGTGATCACTATCACCCCTGAATGTATCAATAGATTTGTGATTACTTGGAGGATTTATACTTAGATGCATGGACATACATTATTCATTGTGTACCATACTAAAGTTTATTGGAGGTAACAAATCATCAAATTACGGGACATGCATACAACATGGATGATCTAACAGTATGCATTTGATATTTGCTTGAAAATAACTTGGAAACAACGTGATACAGTTTTTCATTTAACTATAATTCTTCTTCTCCTTACTTGCTCTTCATTAGATCCCAACGACACTGATCGCTTGTCTGTTGCTACGGACGACGAGGCTATTGAACAAGAAATCAAGAAACAGAGCAAGACAGAGAATGAGGCAAAGAAGAACAAGAAACAACTGGCCAAGGAAAAGGCTGCCCTCAAGGACGCTCGCAGACAAGAAAAACAGGTCTGTTTTAACACTCTCTTTAAAATTATTGAATGTTTTCATGAATAACTTTGAGACTGTGGGTTGGAAGTTTATCCTGAATTAACAAACCCCTATGACAAAATACTTGTATTGTTTTACATTTGAAGTGCTGTTGCTATTAGCTGCCCGTTCTTGAGATGGCGAAACAATGTTTTTGCACGTAGCGTCTTTTCCAGTAATTCAGTTTTAAAAAGATGTACATGAATATATGTTGCGCCGGCGCATGCAGACTTGGTCTAACATTATAACTAATAACGAGCACATCAAAATAACATATTGCCGTGTTGAGAAGGAGCATCTGTAATACCGCATATTTTGCCAATGAATTTAGATAATTTTTTTATGGGAATGGGGTGCCATTTTTATTTTGTGAATTGTATAAGCAATTTGAATTTTCATACGTACGAATCTACAACATTCTCCAGCTGTTAAACACAAAGATGTTTGGTAATGTCACTGAGGGTAATTATGATCCGATCATCTTATATTTCAATTTCAATTTCAAATTCAATTTTTTGTCCAATATTGGAAATTCCTTTTGCTCACATTTTACAAACGTACAAAGAATCAAAATAAGTTTACATACATAATGTATATCATATACTTTGACATAGAAATCCTTCCAAATATTGCTATACAGAAGTATTCTTACGTTATTTTATTATAAACGAAACATTTACAACTTTTACAGAAGGAGGCTGCCAGACAGGGAGAACGTGAGATGGTATTGAATTAAAAACAGAGATGTAATCTTGTGTAATTTTTTTTCTGTAGTAGACACTTGATAATAGCTTTTCATTGTAAACCTATCACATTGACACATTTATCTTTTTATTTTGTGAATTGCATGAGCCATTTGAATTTTTTATTTGCACGAATCTACAACATTCTTTGTTATTGTGTTGATATTATTGGCTTCTCTACTATGTTTTGATGTAATGGTGTGTGTTCAGATTCGATTGGAAGTTTAATAGATCCCACTACGGGTATTAAACACAAAGCCAAATACGTTAAAAAGACAATATTTGCAAAAAATATGTTTTGCCATATTTGAATTTGTTCTTTCTGTACTAGGTAAAATGACCATCAACTGGCAACTAAATTGATGAAAGTTAGAAACGACTGTAATGGCTAGTCTTTGTAAAACACCACATTTGTTAATCAGTGTAACTCCTTGCACCTTCAGTCCACCAAACTTTTTTAAAGGCATTTCTTTCTAGCAAATGGGTACACCTGGTTTGAAAGTGGCAAATTGTCTTCCCAAATGGTTTGCATGTGTCTTTCAATCAATCGGTATGAAATAAAATCAAAATGGCAAATGAATTATTTTTCAAACTACAGTGTACTTAAAAAGTGCTTTCAATGGAGGCGCGATACCTTAGTCGGTAGAGCAATGGTCTCGTAATCCGGCGACCCGGGTTCGAAACCAAGGCGATGCGCTAGTGCCCTTTGGTAAGGCATTAATCCTCATTACCAGGTCTCTCGGAGAGGACCTAAAGCCGTAGGTCCTCTGGCTGCTTACGTTTGCATATAAGTTGTATTTAATATTTCATGTCATTTGTGGTTTATTATAATTCTGAGTCCATATCTGGTTTATTAACATATTTCAATCAATTTCGATGCGGTCCTTATTTTGTGTAATGCCATATTCTTCTTTGCCGTTTACTTGTAATTCAATGTTTTTAACATGTTCCTTTAGTATTTCTCACTTTTCCTTCCTTATCCCTTACCAAAGAAAACTGCTTAATAAGCCTTCGATAAGCCTTCGCTAAGCCTTCACAAAGCCTTCAAAGACTTCATAAGCCTTCGAAGGCTTGTTTTAGTCTTCGACTGCTTATTAGTTTGCGAGAGCTAAGCCTTCAAAGACTTTCATATAAGCAGTCCAAAAATGTTGACTGCTTATTAAGCAGTCAGTAGAAAATAAGCCTTCAAGATAAGCAGTCGCTGAAAATAAGCCTTCAAAGATAAGCAGTCACTTTTAAAGAAGACCGCGAAGGCCTTCAGTTTCCAAATGTGTGCTGCCATCTAGTGGTAGAAGGCGAATAGGCCAACCGGTAATTTTCAAATTCAAATCTTCACTGAGACTCTGAGCTGAGCTGAACGGCGCATATTTCAATCATTACTTTGCAATTTCGCCAGATTTGTCTTCCTGTAAAACCCACAGTATAGGGAATAAGGGGTAGATTATTTACACCAGGAAAGAAGAATTTTGAGAGTATTCTAGAGCAAGAATTTAACAAAATGAGAAAGGATCGAATTTTGTTACCAAGATTACAGTCCCACACAAGCACTCTTGTGTTGGAGAAATACGACCAACTTTGCTTTGCACTGGACTGCTAGCTGCTGGAGCTACTTTAAACATCTTCATTTTGTCCAGAAGGTGAGTAATACAATTACACAATACGAAATTGAGTTTGCTTTCTGTACAGATTAGGAAATTGCATGGCCATTGATTTTGTAAATACTTGTTCACAAATATATTTGAGCAAATTAGCGCAGCTGCAGTTGATGACGGAAGGTTTAGGTAATATAGGCAGTCGAAGGTTTGTACCCAGTGGACAACGCTCGAAGGTTTAGGGGATAAGCAGTCGACAACGAAGGTTTAGGTGATTCAACGACGAAGGTATAAGCAGTCAATGATGAAGGCTTAGCTAATTTGCATATTAAC